TCCGATATGGACAAGTACATACGGTTGACATTGTGAAAATCAATCGGGCCGGCGTCCAACTACCCGCGCCAACTTCTACAGTCTTGTGAGGCGTGTCAGAGGGTTGAGTTCGGGGTGGCGCTAGCCGGTTCTGCATCAGTTGTGGAAGCTGGTGGGTGACCACATTGGGTGGAAGACGGCTGGCGCTGCGCCAAACCCAGCCTCACCGACACGCCCCAGTCAGCAGTCAGTCACTGACAGTCCACAGCGAACAACGCTGTACCACCGGTTTGCTTTCTCCTTCTATCAATCACTGAACAATCACTGTAGCAATAGTGATTGTTCAGTGACTGATAGAAGAGGCAGCCGCGGCAGGGCTCATCTTGCCCCTCCTAGCACCTCCCGGACTAACTGCGGCGATATCAACCATGTATATCGATCGATACACGTGATACACTGTAGCAGCCTTGGACGACTCCTTCCGGTTTTACTGGTGCTACATGTAACTATGGAACTATTCGTTCTATTTTCCAACACTTCTACACGCCAGAATCAGATAGCATCACCCACTTTAATTTAGCTATTTTTGCTTTGAATTAGTATTTCAGGTGGAACGTGGAATTCAGAAAGAGACAACTGGTACACTCCATATTCCAGAGATGGGGAGGGCATAGCTGCACACTTCGTTTGAACCCGGCGCAGAAGACTTTTTCCTCACGATATTTTCATTCGGGACCACTGCAGTCCTGTCTCGTACGAGTGAGGGAAGACTACAATTGTCCGATAATGGCAAAATCCCAGCAAATGAGCAGCCACTACCACCTGCAAATGAAGTACGCAGCCACGCACTCACCATCTCTGGGATATGGAATAAAGTTGAGCGCTCATGGATGTCGATAAGAGTATCAAATAGCAGGCTTCTCGTAGACTTACAATCCAGTTATTCCTCAGTGCTATAGCGCAACTAGAAGTTATTCTCTAGCGCTGCTTGAAATGCTGTTTCAGTGGCATACGCCCATCGGACTTAGCTGGGGAAATGGTAGAAGGATGGCTTATATTGCGCGCCTCAAACTTGAGGATGGTGTACAGTTCTGCTTCCTCTCGAGGTAACTTGTTGTACTGTTATCTGGTTGTAGAATTAATGCCTCTACCTATGTGTATCGCTCACAAAGAACTGCGAAGGAAATTGAAAAGCAATTTCGAGGCGAACAAACTAGAAACTCGCTTGGAGCGATGCTGAATATGAGGCCGTAATGAAGAAAAAGAGAGAAGTGGAGGAAATTTACAAGCGTTTCACCCCTGAGTACGTTTCCGGAGCGTATATGGAGTCTTGTTATCGGCATTACGTGCCTTGAAAGGTTTACACTATAGGAGGTTAGACACGTCTGTTTCGCCATCGTTTTCGACCGTCTGCCTACCGGATGCCTTTCGTAATAGACTGATTCGAAGATCCGGTCTCGATCGACTCAGAGATATTTATTTAAGCTCACGAAAAGCAATGCTTATTGTGTTCGCAAGTCGGTCACTGTGATACGGATATGCTAGAGGCTTACAAGGCGGGTTCTCCGGTAAGAAGATTTTGGCCCCCGGGCGGCGCAGGTGCTTTGTCAGACGGGCGGGGCATTTTGCACTTTGGTTGCACGTTCACTAGTTCTGGCTTCACAGTTCATCCTCTGCGGTGAAAACTGTGAGTCTCTATAGATGAAAAGGTGAGAAGCCGTGCCCCAGCCATGTGTGGTAAAGAGAGAGTCATACTCAGGTGAGGAAGGTTTTCAGAGATGGTCGACCAGATTTGGGACGGAGGCAAGCCTATCTCATAGATAGGGCTCGCAATGAAGATTTGTTCTGAAGAGAGGAGCCCTGAAGTCACCTTATAATGAAACTCAGAAGCAGCGCGACTAAAAGTAGAAAACGGGAAATATTTTTGCTGAAGACTAGTGGTTCTCCTTCTCCGTCCTCAGCGACTAATGCGAACTCGAGCCCCTGCCTCTGATGGGTTTTGAGCAATTAAGTTTTACCTCCGAACTCATCAGGAAATTCAGAGTGCACCACCGTTGCTTAAGCTATTGAACATCTGTTTAACAAGGTTCTTGGCCCCGCTGCGTCCGAGTAGTAGGTAGCTAAGAGTGCGATCGCATCGGCGGTCTTTTTGACCCCGGCAGCTGGCAGAATGTTCTCATTCCACATGCGAGGTGCATGAGTTCGCAGCTGCAGTAGAGTATACTTTCCCGCTCGAAAGTGCATTGGAATGGAGCTGGGGATTAGTGAGACCCGGATGCAGTTTTCATACTCCGCCCGCGCTATCCCCAATGTGCAGCTCTTGGGCCGATACCACAATCCCGCAGCGAAACATGCTGTCAGCGGTAGAGAACAACCAGAAGTGAGAGGGTGCAACAAGTAGCACGTTGAGCTATGGTTAGGTGTGTGGCTGGTCGTACGGCAGCTCGGGAGGTGTACGAATACGGCAGCCGGGCATCACTACCATCGAGCCCGTTTGCGTGCTTTTGACCGGAGAAAGTGGCACGCTACTGCAGCTGCGGACCCATTCACCCCGCTCTTGGAAAGGACTTGGGTCCATGAGGTGAAGGTACAGTTTGTCATTAAAGAGCTATCACCTTCATGTTAAGCTTGTTTCTATGATTTATCGGATATCCTTTTAGAGAAATCGCTGAGGCACGGAGAATAGTGGAAGAGATGGATGCCATGAATGAACGCGAACAACGATACAAGGATGATGCTGAAGCGGAACTGGAGGCGTTACGTCAAGAGCTAAAAGAATACGAAAATGCTGAAGAGATTGTACGTCAGCGTTTCAGTAATCTAGCGCTTTTACATTCCATATCTGAGAGCAGCAAGAGATGTGGCTGCGAGAACGGCGTGCATCTTGACGAGAGAG